AGAAAACTCAACAAAATAAATGGAATAATACTAGTCAGGAGATTTGAAATTTACTAGGTTCACCTGCTGGATTTTAAATGCTTAAAGCTGACTAGTTTTATGTTCTGTTGAAACAATCATTCATATCTCTATGGCCCATTCAATGGTCACGTTTTAACAACAATAGTAATAATTATACCTTTTGTCAGCTTGCGTCATCTATGGCATAGGCAAGATATCCGTTTGCTAACAAAAGGGCGAGTCTACTACGCATCAGTTCAATCCGTCCTACTGTAGTGAACCAGAACACAGGTGGGACAACCGGATTGTATTTAACGAAAATTACAGAGTTACTCAGTAAAATAGGAAAACCATATCGTAAATCGTCCATTTGCAAAATATCAGTCCATCATATCGAACTGGACTGTTCCTGTTGCAAAACATCAATCCATTGTCACTATTCATGCGTTTCATACAAATTCCATTGTGTTCTAACTCTTCCTTTCTTGATCTTCCCCCATCTTCTGCTGCCAGACATTACGTTTACACTCACGTCATACACTACTTATAAGTAGCTCGCACCACACTACTACTATATGGGTGTGAAACATGGCCAGTAAGAGCAGATGATATCCGGACGTTACCGGTTTTCGACCATCCGTGTCTCCGAAACTTTGCTCATGTATCCTGGGACAACCAAGTAAGCAAGATTGTTGTTAAGGTAAGGATGGAAGATCAATAGATGATGAAGTATTGAAACTTCATCAGTTGAGGTGGTTGGGACATGTGTTAAGCATGCAAAACCACTGACTGCCTCAATGACGCGATGATGCCTGGTGTAGGAGTAGGTTGGAAGAAAGCTAGGGGTGGCCAAACCAAAACATGTCACAAATCCGTTAAGTCACTTAAAACTGGATTAGGCCATGTTGATAAGTGAAGACTACCTCGTTTGGGTCCGCGAAATGATAGTAATCGATGATTAGAGACCCTGAATGACATAGCTCAAAATCGTTTGCAATGGCACAGGTGCATTCATTCTTTGTGTTCTCTCAAATCCTAAACTTCTGAATTCCTCATCACCTCTAACTTTCTCTTTCTAAAGTTAGTTCACTAGATCCTACTTCTAGAATCATATCCTCTAATCCTAATCTCTCCGATTACTGCTATTACTTCTACTACCTGAACTACTATGGGATTCAGGTTGACATTTGCGTCTCTGTGCTAATGTGGTATGGCAACTTGAACTGGTGTACGTACGTACGCAGTTCTACGTTTTAACTGACTGACTGACTGAATTATACTTTTTGCTTTGAACATCATTGCATTGACCAGTTAGTTATCGACTCCAGATAGTCACTTGCTTGTGTAATCAGGTGAAAGTTATTACATTTGTAATGGGTGTTTGAATCTTCTGATTGATATTTAGGACTGCAAATAATCAGGTCTCTAAGTGAATAACGCGAAGACATTTAAAGTGAAAGGTATAAGATTGGAGTCCCAAAGTGAAGGTCAACTCTGAGATACAGGCACATCCAGCTAACGAGTCCGAAATAGGACGAAACATGTGTTCAAGATCCCAGTGATAGCGATTATTCATCTCTGCCTATGGTGCCTGTAACTTAATGGCTATATTAAGCAATCCGTCCAGGATACACGTATTTCAAACAAGAATGATCAATTGTAGTACTGAAAAACAATTAGGAGATCCAAACTACTACAATGAATTCGAAGTAGGGCTCAATTACTTTAGTGACCCGTGAACTGACTCCTGCATTTATGAACGTTCGAATATGCTATGAAATTAATCCTCCCTTCAGTTTTTGTATATCACACTTAGGAGAACCCCGTTTGTAGGACGGCCGTAAACAGAAGCCATATGAGGATTCAGCTGGATAAGTCTATTTCAGGAAGTCTTTTATGCTGCATAGACATGAGGATACACAGTTTTGAAGTAAAGCGAAGCAAAGTGGAGGAGTTGAACGAGCCAGCTATATGCGATGAAGCATGACTCAGTGTTTAGGATCAGACAAAGTAAGCTAGACATGTAATGAACGAAGTAAGCAGTGTACACGTGCATTAAATTAGACACAACTAAGTGAAAAGCGAATATTTGGAAAGGTTAAAAGACTCGGGTAGAATGGTTTAGTTAGTTTGTCCGAAGGCTTGGGACAAGCCATGGGGGTTCAACATAACAGCACATGCACTATAATATATTTCTAATCCTTATATTTCTAGTAGGCAGTCATCAGTTTAATTTTTACACACAGTTATATACATTTCGTCAACAATAGTTTTGCTTATACGTGCCGAATAAACTAGGAACAATCGTAACCTCAGGTTTTAGTAGACATAGAATGGCAGTTTAGAGTAATGTAGATACTGCAATTGAATTTCAGTGTGAGCATCAGTACAACAGTTCAGATATTTACCAAAATGACAAAATTCGCTTCATGCATTCCATTGCTACTCCTAGTTCAAACATATCAGTCAGTCAGTCATTTACAACGTAGAACTTCGTACGTACGTACGTACATCAGTTCAAGTGGCCATACCACATTACCACGCACAGAGACGCAATTGTCAATTCGAATTACATAGTAATTAAGGTAATAGACGCATAAGCAGCAATCGGAGAGATTAGAGTTCGAAGATATTACTCAAGAAGTATAATACAGTGAAATAAACTTAAAAATAAAGATAAGGATGACTAAGAATCCAGAAGATTAGGATTTGAGAGGAAAGAAAGAGTAGACGCCTCTGCTCCATTGCAAACGGTTTTGAGCTATGACATTCGTGGTCTCTAATCATCAATTACTATCATCTCGCGGACCTTAACGAGGTAGCCTAAAGTTACCACTATGACTCAGTCCGGTTGTCAGTAACTTCATGGATTTTTTCATGTTTTGGTTTGACCGCTCCTAGCTTTCTTCCAGACAACTAGTACACCAGGCATCATCACTCGTTGAGGCAGTCAATGGTTTTACATGCCTAAGGGATGTCCCAACCATCTCAACTGATGAACTTTCACTACTGCATCTATTGATCTTCTATCCTTACCCTAACAACAATATTGCTTGCTTGGTTGTCCCAATATAAACGAGCAATGCTTTGGAGACACGAATGAACGAAAACCTGTAACGTACGAATATCCTCTTTTCTTACTTGCATTGTTTCACACCAATGTAGTAGTAGGACTGAGTGAACCGATGCGCAGTAGACTCGTCCTTTTGTTAGCAAACTAATATCTCACCGACGCCATAGTTGACGCAAGTTGGCAAAAGCCGATTTCTTTCTACTAGAATGTACCCATATTGCGTTTGTTACTAATATTCTGTATCATGTTTAATTGTTATCTGAATACACCAGAATTTGTACAAAGTTCAATATTATTCGAATACAATTTATTGAAATTATACAATACCATATATCTTTTAAACAGCATATTAAAAATATAAAGTAAACATTCACTTATCATTTAGATTATTTCTGTTTCATATTCATACACATGAAACTCATCTGTTTTAATTAAAGATTTTTATCAACTCTCACTCAGTGAAGTTTCATGCTGATATTGTATTAAAGATTCACAGTGAAATCCGTTTTTTTGGCTGCATACCGAATGAATAAATTCTTTGAAAAAAGAAAATATAAATAATTGATATTTTCATATTCCAGTCACGTTTCTACTATGCTATTCCGCTAGAATAATAACTTACTAAAACAAATCTACTAGTTAGCTTAAATACACTCACTATACATTAGAAATAATTTCGGTATACACTGCATTGATGGCTAGCTAGCTATATGAGGTTTAACTATTTTCCAATCTAATTGATACTCCTATGAAAAATTACTCATAAATCCAACATTTAGCATCGTGATGACAAGTGTGTATTTTGCATCTCATTTGTTTCTATTGACTGAAATGAGAGACAACTGTATTGAAACTCATGTATCTAGTTAATAAATAATGCAATGAAAATAGATGTTATAGAATTAAACCTTATCAAAAGTGTTATACTCCTCACTTGATATGCTTGAAACTATTACGAGTTGATAAACGAGGACGAGATAATGACCCAGTGACACGGTAGACTACTCTGATCCACTGCCCAAAGGTACTGACGAAAAAGTCTTGATATGGAGTAGAAAGTGTATTCTACAAACATCCAGCCAGCACATAATGAATCCAAGCACACAAATCGCGTTTATTCATACATCATAGAGACGTCCTTGGGAGAGTCACGAAAATAGCACACTAAAATGACACAGTAACCAATCACATCCAAGCATTTTCCTGTTTGGAAATGTGATCTCAAGGTCAACTGGTCAGCCGATGAAATAAATCCAAAATAAAGATATTTTTCAAGTGAGTTCTAGGGATCGAACGTCTCCAACAAAAAGCCTTCGCTTATTGTTGGAAAAGCAAAATTTTCAACGTATGAAACATATAAATTTTTCATAATAAGATTACGAAGATTGTTGTTTATTACTTAAATCATGAATCAATGATTGTTAGACCACCATTAGAACCCTGGAAGCCTTTAACGGCCGTTTCATCCTGATTTGGGACATCAGTGGCAGTGCCCATCCACGACTCTTGCTACGTGCAGGATTTGAACATGACACCTTCGGTCTTGAGCGCGAACGCCAGAACTCAAAACTACTGAGTCGGTATTCAACGGTATCAACGTCTAACTCTGATCAATCTAAGCATTTTGCACGACCTCACCCATTTGTCTTTGGTAGTTACTGCCTACATGTTATAGGGTTGAATTCCACTCGTCATGTCTTAGATTTCTTGTGAAAAATTAACAGGATCACATTCCCAGCTGTCAGTTGTCATTTCTATTTACCCTACAAGATCATATTCAACTTTCTAATTCCCTATAGTACTTAAAAGGTAGCTTGAGTGATCAAAAAAAGATACAGAAAAGCTCGGTCATCTGGAATATCTTCATTTTATATCTTTAAATCCACTTCAACAATTTCACTCTTTGTTTTTGTTTTCAACTATTCAGTTGACATTGGCATGTTCTGTAACCAGATTGATATGTTATGCAGATCATCAAATGCATTTTGTTCAAATGGTAAAATGATCAATAATGTTTACATATCACCTCAATGTGTTTGCCGAGATGGATATTTACCAGTTTATCAGGACTATTTAGATTATCATGAATGTAGTGAGTTTTCATGATATTTATTTATTTGAGCTATTACATACTACTTATTGTTTTATAAGTAACATAAACTATAAATGAAAACCGTTGCTTTACTATAATTAAGGAGATAGTTGTTACTGAAATCATAAATCAACGATTGTTAGACTACCATCAGAAACCTAGAAGCACTGAATGGCCGTTTCGTCCAAGTACTGGACTCACCAACAATCATCGGTAGTTACTGTCATGTTGGTTGTACTTAATGTCTGCCGAAGACAAACGGGTGGGGTCGTCTGAAATTCCTATATTGATGGGTTAGACATTAACACCATTGTTGGCTTATTCAGTGACCTGGAGATTAGATGTTCACGCGCAAGACCGAATATCCTGGGTTCGAACCCTGTGAGTATCAGGAGTCGTGTATGCGCACAACTGACGAGTCCCAAACCAGGACGAAACGGTCCTCCAGTGCTTCCAGGTTTCTGATGTTAGTCTAACAATGATTGATTCATGATTTCATTAATAGTTAATCTAATGTATATTGCTAGTCTCACATTGTAGTAAACATTTTATGGTTTACCAATCCGTCTAGTGGACACTCCGGTCTTTTGCAAAACATTACCTACAGTTGCAAAAATATTTGTTTTATTTTGTTTTGTTTTTAATTGATATAAAAATCAGCGTGAAAATTAGAATACTAGTGTAGTGGCGGCCAAATTCGACGGCGGGCTCACCATTATGTGTACACTGGCGAGCAAATGAGCGACTGAAGCGAATCGTATGGAGCGAAGCGGAGAAGCAGTGAATAAAACGAATGAAGCGACGTGAATTGGAAAAGGCTGCTGAGCCAACTCCCAGGATTACAATGCGAACGAATGGGCGAAGGAAGCGTATGAACAGGAGAAGTGCGTCGGAGAAGGCTAATTAGCCTACTCTAAGAGATAGAGCGTGACTAAGATTATATTATCAGACGAATATAAGACAGACATGTGACAAGCGAAATAGGCACACATGAATAGTTGACAAGGTAAAATGACAAGTGGAATACGTCATGTGAGCTCATACAAACCAGACAATAATAAGAACGAAGGCACATACAAATTGATGCAATACAAATGCCTTGGTTAAATAAATTAATCGAAAGGGCTTAACCAAGTTAGATCTAAGCGAACTGGAATATACGTGGAGGCACTACCCTATTATTATTGCATTGGTCCATATTAACGTGGATGACTACTTGATTTATGTGAAACCAAGACGGTTTTATTCAAAAATTTACTTAATTAGATGTTAATTTAGTATTCTCCAAAGTTCAACTGAATTGATTGTCCCCTGTAAAACGTAGAATTTATTGTAATCAGAAATATTCACTAAATTTTACTTTATTTCAACCAATTAATGATTACTGACGATTTTAAAGTTTGTTTGTCTACATGATATTCATTGTTCAATGACTTGTTCGCTATCTCTGTTTTCCTCATTTTCATCTCTCATAGTTCCAATCTGTGATAAATGCCACCTGATGGAACGATATTCTCGTCAAAAACATTGTGTATGTCCAGAAATTGCCCAACACAATCGAAATCACAAGCTTTATGAAATCAGTAAAAACATCCAAGACAGTATCTTGTGTAAGCTTCCATTAGAACTATTGAATTGTAATTTTGAATTTAATAAACTGGAGACAGACTATCATTCTCCATTTCGTACATATTTAGTGATATATTCAGCCTGAATATAAGATACATGTTCTCAAACACTTACACGGTGTGAGAAATAACAAATTCTGACCACTTATAAAGTTTTTTCCTGAGTAGTTTACTGTTGGTGAAATGATGGCAACGATTTGTAATATACATGGATGGTTTTGGTGAAGTTGCATTTTCTGAGATGTACAGTCGAATCGTGAAACCTTTATTGATTTCTTAGTAGTTCACTACTTTATGACGCCTAGAATAACAATGAACTCTTTATTATTTAATTACCTTTAAAAGGGAATGAAACTTCATCAAAAACTCATCGTTCAATATAATTTAACCATTGATCAATTTAATTCTCATGTAAAAAACTGTTTAATTAAACACACCAATCGATAATGCAAAATTAGGACAAACATATTCACTCAAACTATAAACTATCAACCAATTTTTCACTGAAACGTATTTATAGCTTCATGAATAAATTCTTGGAGTTCTAGTGTGAAGATGTGACCGGTGGAGTTCATCCCTGTTGGGTTTGATGCAGTAAAACACCAAAGACAATGGGTGAGGTTGCGCACAATTCATAGATTGATCAGAGTTAGACGTTAACACTGTTGAATTCCGGGTCAGTAGTCTTGAGGTTGGGTGTTTAAGCGCAAGACCGAAAGTTTTTAGGTTTGAACTTTGTGGGTAGGAGGAGTCGTGGATGAGCACTGCTGACGGGCACCATACCAGTACTCGTTGGCTATACAGGGCTTTCAAATGTTCTAACAATGATTAATTCATGATTTACAATTCAAAACAATGATTGCCTTAATACTGTAATGTAAAATCAAAAGTGATTATTCAGTTTGACGAAAATTACTTTTTTAAAGACAATATATTCCATGGAATTCTATAAATTTCGGGAGAGTAATAAGCTTTCTCAGAAGTCATAGGATTGAAAAGAATTAATTAACCAAAAAAAATGAAATGTATAGTTAAGATTTACTGGAACATAAAAGCTGCATGAAGCAAACTTTCTTCATGGTTCATTCCGAGTTTTCTCATATATAACATCTAGTTTGAAAGCTTTTAATAGCTGGAGAATCATAACCAAGAAATTTACAAATTCTCTTACTATTATTTAGTTGCAGTATAGTTCAGTTCACGTTTCTTTTCAAAATTGCATACTTCATGATTTTTCAACGTACATTTCATGGTTACATTCCAAATAAACTCACTATCGATAACTACTACAGAGTATTTTCGAAGATGTTCATATGGTTTACCTGGAAAGTTTAGAAGAATAATACTCAGAATAATGAAACAAAAGCTAAATAACACTGCAAGTTTAAAAAATAATACACATATGCTAAATGAGCAGTAAATTGAGATTGGAAAGTGTAACGAGTGAGGTCGAAAAAACTCTCAACAGTTTTAAGCTACTGAATTTAGACAGGTAGTATAGTACAATTTACAAAAGTTATGGACGGAGATGTATTTAACCGTACATTTTTTCTGATATGTTTAAGTGACTGCAAATTAGATATAGCGTGATTCGTATTCGGAAAGCAGTTAGAAATTCAAGCTAAATCACGAAATCATACTACTGAATAGGATGAGTAGTTATTCATGAAGTATTCAAAACAGAGAAAAATTATAAGTCTCATCATAACGACATAAAAACTAATGAAAATCCCAAATAGTCATTTCATTTGTTTCAAACGTAGTTTTAACTCTTTGAAAATGTTAATTACGAGTTATGTTTATTTTCATTTTGAATACTAAGATTTTTCTGGTACTCAACAAAACTTCACAATATATTTGAATTTTTCTACGGAATATCAATCTTCTATTTTCCTGACAAACGATACAACACATTGGATTATATTTATGTCAAATCAACTAAGCTCAGTCTATCCACGTGATAATTGTCTTTTAAAAAAACATAAAGATGGAATTTGGCGTAAAATGTTGAATTTTTCAGAGAAACATGATATTTTGACGGATTGTGCATTGATTCAAATTCATCATCAAAAGGTAAGTAGAAATGAATATCAAAATTATATTAGCTAAATCATGATATCAGCTTTCACTGTATTCAATCGTAGAAGATGAATACTGAAAGGATAGAATTGTCGGGGACGGTAGATCTCCAGAACTCACTTTGAAAAGGTCCCAATTTTGGAATTTTTATGTTTTCGCGCACATGCTGCCCAGCTGACCTTGAGCTTACGTTTTCCACTAGCGAAATCTTTGACTTTCATTGGTTGATGGATTATTTTAGTACGCTATTTTTGTGGCTCCCACCGAGGGCGTCTCTATCATGTATAAATGAGCTCGATTTGTGTGCTTGTCGACCTCGTACTTTCTGGATGCTTGTAGAACACACTTAGCAAGACTTCCTAATATAGTTATCCGGACTGGGGACAAATGGATTAGAATAGCCTATCTCGTCACTGCATCAATTATCTGCGCTCCGTTTACCAATTAAGGTGAACTCCTAATAGCAGTCAAGCATATCGATTGAAGAGCATATCAAGAATAGAAAAAAGTGCATCCTCAGGAGTAAGCACTAATACGGAAAACAGATTAGGTAGAAAAATATTTTCACTGTTCAGAATAGATATTTAAGATAATATGACTAGAGCAATAAGAATAACAAATAGTTACTTCATTTAAAAAAATCGATATCATTTGTTGACACTTCAATGAAAATTTTCCCAAAACTACACTTTAACTGGTCATAAAACAGTGTTGTGCATGTTAGATCCCCAGAACTCGCTTGATAAATGCCTTAATTAGGTTTTCACGCTTGCGAGCATGGGCTGATCAGTTGACCTTGAGATTTCATTTCCCACCAGAAAAATCCTTGGCTCGGATTGACTGCTGTGTATTTTAGTCTGCTATTTTTGTGACTGTCCCAAGGACGTTTCTATGATGTATGAATAAACGAGAGTTGTGTGCTTGATTGTATTGTGATTGCTGGGTGTTGTAGAATATACTTTCTACACTATATCATGAATTCTTTTGCAGTTTTCGGATCAAGGTAGCCTATCTGGACGCTGATTAATTGTCTCGTTAGCGTTTATCGACTAAGGTGAACCAGTAATAGATTCTAGCGTACCTGGTGACGAACCTGACAGAGTTCAGCTATGAAAATGGTATGATTGTCACAATAAACATTATTATTACTGTGTTGCTCATAAGAATATTTCTATGAGCGAAACACGTCACATACCGTCTCAGTAAATCTTATAAAGTAGTTACTTGAATTATCAAATAATTATTAGCAATAATTAATTTCTCCTGCTGATGACTCCCATACCACGACAAAATGGTTTCTACTTATGGTCTAACAACAACTGATTCATGATTTCAATAATAATTAATTTCTTGTTTGTTTGTTTGTCTGTTCGATTTTTTGTCCTATTCTGAACTAATTGTTTAAATTTGTATTTCCTGTGTCAATTTGTTTTGTGTTTTTAATTGAATAAGAATATAGTTGGATTGTTTAAATGCTAAATAAATTTATTTTAGTTGTCTAACAAACACTGCATTCACATGGAATCGATAGACTTTGGTTAGTTGTAGAATCCAAAGCACACGTTTTGTCCCATTTTTGACTCGTCAAAAGCAAAATCGTGCACGCAGAACAGCTGACGGACAAGTCCAAGGTGAAGACCGGTGTCAGGCAAGGCTGCTTACTCCCACACTTTCTCCTAGTAATCGACTGGATTATGAAGACATTATGATCTGGAGGGAAGCATGGGATACAGTGGACAACTAGGATACAGCTGGACCATCTGGACTTCGCAGATGATCTGGTTCCTCTATCTCACACGCAACACCAAAAGCAAGAGAAGATAACTAGTGTAGCAGCAACCTCAGCAGCAACAGATCTCAACATTCATAAAAGGAAAAGGAAGATTATCTGATGCAGCCCCATATGCACCAACCAAATTACTCTTGATGGTGATGCTTTGGAGGGTGTAAAAACCTTTACATATCAGGCAGCATCATTGACGAGCAAGGTGTATGAAGCGGAAACTTGGAGAACCAAGAAAGCCATAAACACTCAAAAATACACTCGTTTATTAACAGTTGTCTACGAAAAATACTATGGATCCGTTGGCCAGACATCAGCAACAACTTACTGTAGTAGAGAACAAACCAGATTCCATCGGAGGACGAAATCAGGAAGAAACAATGTAAGTGGATAGGAAAGCACGCAAATGCGTCGCAAGACAAACCCTCGATTGGAACCCTGAAGCTCAAGAGAAAAGAGGAAGGCCAAGGAACACATTAAGCCAAGTAATGGAAACAGACCTGAGAAGAGTGAATAAAAATTGGATAGAACTGGAAAGAGAAGCTCAGGACAGAGTAGGTTGGAGAATACTGGTCAGCGGCCTATGCACCATTGGGAGTAACAGGTCTAATAAGTACATAAGGAAGCGACTAGTCACCTGGACTTACAAGCATCTCAGAGTCAGTATTCATCCCGAGAATCGAACCCATTATCGTTCACTTCAAACGCTATCAACTTTGTGATGCCCAATGTATCCAGCTGACAAGCCCCAAACAGGACGAAACACGTGTCATTGGCTCCAGTGCAAGTTATATACTATCTATTCTATCTGTAAACTTGTGTAATAATAACTATACCGAGACAGTTTGCATAGAATGCCCATATGTTAACCGAGATGCATAAAAAACTTTACTCAAAACATCAACAACCAGGTAATCCATAACCCAATTTCAACCCAATTTTTTGTTTCAAACATTACACCTTTGTTTCTTATTTTTTTTTGTTTTTTCTAGAGAGAATTAACTTTCAAAACGTATATTATTGTTTTATATCAATCAATATTTGATTTTACAATTAAACACAAACAATACTACGCTTCATTCACATTAAATTGGAATAAAGTAAATGTTACTTTTTATGCAACTGAAATTCAGTAAGTTTTCAAATATTGTAACTACAGTTGACATGCACTTTTTTTTTAAGAAGCCAATAAGCACGGCTGATGTTTGAAAGTTTGAAATTGTTTAACAGTCTTAATCCTGTTTGAACTGGAAGCATGGAACTTTTGAAATTCTAACTGTCGCAGGACTTTCACACTGTTGATTTAGAATTCGTTAGTCTATATTTAAAGTTATATTGAGTTTGTTAAGCAGTGCGAAGATTATCTATTGTTAGGAGTATTATGAATGCTCTCCATATGCCGTGGCTTTTTATTTGAACTTTGGGAATTTCTCTCAAAGCTAATCAGTGTTAGTTTCAAAAGTTCAGATGTACAAATCGTGACGACAATGCTACATCGTGAATACATTGAAATTGGAAATACACATTACTGAATACTAGCATATTGTTTTAAGATTAAAGCTTTAGCTAACAGTCCTAAAGGTCCTCAGTTCAGTTCATGGAGTGATAGTGTGTGTATACTATCGAAAAGTTGAAGCAACAGTACAATAGCCGTCAGTTTCCGATTACTTACTTACTTACTTACTTACTTACTTACTTACTTACTTACTTACTTACTCACTTACTTACTTACTCACTTCTGTTACCCTGAATGGAACATAAGCTGCCGACAAGCATTCTCAAACCTACACTGTTCTGGGACTTGCTTCCCAGTTCTTTCCAACTGTTGTCCATTCTTCTCTTGTCTGTCTGAATTTCTCAGCGTAATGAGTTCCTTGGCTTTCGTTCATTAGAACTCACTTCTGAAATCCTGGGTCTCTTACTTTCAATAAAAAACTGAGAGTTATATACTATGAAAAATATCACATTAAAAACTGTTTCATTTAAAAGTTTTCCAATAAATTTATGCCTATTCACGATTTTTATGAAAACTTGGCAAGCTATCATGAATTTCAGCAACAAAGCGATGAAATATTAACAACAGAACAATGTTTTCTCTCGTTATTATGATTTATATTCAGTCCACTGAATGAAGATGACTGTTCATGTAGAGTTGTACGTGAGATTTGTATATATACACATATTTAGATTTAGAAATATAACTTCTCGTTTTGTTAACACTATTTTTTATCTAATTAACTATTCTATTTTCAATAGAATTGAATATAAAATGATTTATAATTATTTCTTACTATTATTGCTCAATAGTGATTAACTTCATGACGACATTCTCTGAGTTCTAGTGAGAAGTCATGACCGATGGAGTTCAACCCAATGAGATGTAGGCAGTTACCTACTGAAGATAATGAGTAAGGTTGCGCAATATCTGTGGTTGATTGAGGATAGACATTAGCACTATTATATACCGGCTTAGTTGTCGAGAGGTTAAGCATGTGCACGGGAGACCGAAGGTGGTAGTTTCAATTTCCGAAGGTAGTGGGAGTCGTGGATACGCACTGCTGACGAGTCTCATACTGCGACGAAACGGACTTCTAGTTATTTCAGGTCTATAATGGTTGTTTAACATTGATCAGTTTTATGATTTCAATTAATTCTATAAATAAAAACCATGAAATTATTGAACATTTATTTATTCACTTCTCATTTTTGAATTTTTTTTCAGAATGATTAATATTAACAACGAAAAAAGGGATAATTCAGAAATTTTGAAGAAACTTCATCAAAATTTAAAATTCACATCAACAAACAATGAATTGAATAGTGAAAATTCACAAACTATGCTAAATACAAAACAATTTGTTGTAAATTTACGCATAGATTATTCTCATCAAAATAGTAAGTGATTTAACTTCTCTCGAGGAGTGGGAGATGTCACAAGTAGAATGTCAATTCACATTCAACTTATAAATCGGTTTGTAGATGATAATTATAGATTTGAAGTCACGAATTGAACAATGTTAGACCACCATTAGAAACCTGGAAGCACTGGACCCCTGTTTCGTCATGGTATGTGCTGAGACCTCATGCTTCTGAGGCTGCAGCTACACTAGTCGTCTTGTTGTTGTTGTGTGTGGACTATCTGAGAATTATAGAATTAAACTATAGACACTAAATTATTCCTAAACCCAAAGTGCTCACTGAAAAAAGTTGATTAACTCAATGAATTAGGATCTTTTGATTAAAATTCAATTGATGACAACTTTCTGTTCATTGGATTATCTTGCTATAATATGAATCACATTATCTTGTTGTTGCTTTTTATGTAAAAAAAAAATGACCCCATCTGGAACAGTTTTCAATATTATCTTAATTTTTTCTCGATAGTTGTCTGTTAGATTCAAATCAATTCAGTAAAGAGATTAAATTTCATTCAAATCATTTATCAACATTTGGAAATTTTGACATACTACTAAATAATTCAATCAATAGTATAAATAATTTATTGAAAAATATGACAGATCTCAATTCATCTCAACAAAAGGATTGGCATTTTCATGAAAATTTTACAATTTTATCAGAATTGCATATAAATTGTGTATTTCGTGTTTGTCAACACAATAAATGGTGTACATGGGTAAGAAAATCATGAATTCAATTCATTGATTTACGTAAAAATATTTTTTGTTTTTGTTCGAATTATGCATCGATCCAAGTAAGATAACCAATGGAGCAACTATGACTCTCTTAAGGTAACCAAATGCCTCGTCATCTAATTAAATGGGTATATTAGGTGACGCGCATAAATGGAGCCTTTTAGGGTTTTGGTGGCGGCTGCCTCTTCGTGCCCTCGCTAGATGGAGTTGTTTACAGCGCTGCGGCCAAAGCCGTTCCGAACGCTTAGGATACCCTGCCAAGCATGGTCCAGAATAATCGTACGTGTTCATAGTCGCAAGGCCGTTGATGCAGTTAGCCACTCTGAAGGATTAGGACTGAACGCCTCTAAGTCTGAATCCTGTCCATCGAGTGTAGGTAAATTGAAATAATGGTTTGAGGACTTTTCGTCTATCATTCCGGTAGTAGCAAATATCTTGAAAGGGATATGGCTTTCCAGGATAGTTGAAGGCGACCCTGGACGTTCGGTTTGGGGAATCAGCCGTAGACATCCTGGACTATTGACGCCGACCGTATGTGGTTGTCCCTTACACTCTGCACCCTCTGTAAAGTGTGAACTGGCGTCGAGGCCCCTTAAACAAGGGTCTCCATTTCGGGGTGCCAGGTCCAGCTGGGTAAGCCTGCCTTGCCGCTCATGTCGATTGAGGATATCGGGTAGTGGATTGGTGGAGGGATCTTGTTGATTCATAAGTGCCCGAACGGGGGCTACTGTTCGTGTGCGTGCTTTTTGGACGTCTGACCTGCTTGCGGGCCAAACTGGACAACATGTACGTTCCCGATTGGGGTAGGGGTGATAACTAAAACGGCTACAGTGGGAATCCTTGTGTTACCTAAAAAGCAGCGATGTGCACGTGCAGCAGGCTTGTTGGTTAACCAAGATTTATGGAAATCTAGAAACATATCGTCATAATATTGTACTCCTCAGTAGTGCATGTCCACAATCAACGTTAGAGCATTTAGTAAAGCAAGTGAAACTGTCAACCACTGAGTCGATATCTAACGATGTGCATGGGTAACCTTCAATCATACAACAATATTGTACTGGTGTGGTGCGAACTACTTATAAGTAGTATATGACGTGAGTGTCAACGTAAAGTCTGGTAGCATAATATGGGGGGAAGATCAAGAAAGGAAGAGTTAGAAAACAATGGAATTTGTATGAAACGCATGAATAATGACAATGGATTGATGTTTGGCAACAGGAACAGTCCAGTTCCATAGGATGAACTGATCTTTTGCAAATAAACGATTTACGATATGGTTTTCCTATTTTACTGAGTAACTCTGTAATTTTCTCTAAATACAATTCGGTTACCCCACCTGTGTTCTCGTTCACTACACTGGTATCTTAAATTGTCTATGGTGGGTAACTTTCTCACACACGAGATAGTTTACCTCTACTGGTCGCAGCTTAAACCATTTAATGATTCAAATGAAATTCAACAGTCTACACAATCCCATATCAATCCTTTTCCAATTTTTTTGATGAGAATATTCGGTAAATTTTCAACAGTTAGATTCTGCATTGTTCAATGTATGTTTACTATCGTAAATTATACAGCTGAAAATGACTATTTTTCACCTAGAATAAAGGTATTCATAAACGTTTGACTGAGTTGATCATTTCACAAGCTTTTTCCGGTAAGTTAAATCCAGTAGAAACAATATTAAGTTTTGTTTGATAAATAGAGCAGATGAATTATTTACTAAATCATTACAACTAATGAATTTTCACTTTAAAATACACTTTCGAAACTTTATAAAGAATTAGAGAAATGAACGTAAGAAAAGCCTAGTAGATATCTGACTCGTCTACTTATGGCGGAGGAGAGATATCCCTCTTCTAGCCAAATGACTAGTCTACTAAGCAGCAGTTCACTCCATCCTACTATGTGGGTGTAAAACATGACCAGTACGAGTAGAGGATACTTGTAGGTTAGTGGTTTTCGATCATAGGTGTCTCCGAAGCATTGCTATTGAGCAATCAATGCTGTTGTTAAGAAACGGACCTAGGTAAGGATAGCAGATCAGTATATGAAGTATTGGAACTTCATCATTCGGAGTGGTTAGGACACGTGTTACGTATGCCCAACTCATTTCTCAACCAATTCAACTGATGAAGTTTCAATGTTGAATCTATCGTTTTGCCGTCGTTACTCATACTGATATATGTATAACATGAGTGAATCCATTTTCTCTTGATATCTTTATTTCACAGCCTTCTTGCGATAATACAAATCAGTTGGATTATAATCTACCTCAACCGAATATATTGCCAAGTTATACCTCCTATCCATCAATATTAACATTAACAAAATCATTGAAAATTGAAATTCCCAACTTGAATTCAACATCACCACTAGAAGATATATTTCACCATTCTTTGGTATTTACACAGAATAAAAGTACCGGTGAGTTCTTCTTAAAACGTTTTATTTATCATGTTGTATGTAATGAGATAAATAGTAAATATACGATAACACAACAACTATCGAGGTTGTTGATATTTTTTGTTTAAAAGATGTTTATTAGTACAAAATAACACTTTTATACTGTTACTGACTGACTGATTGACAAATTTTCCAATACTAGTACCCATCGTATTATCAACATGTAGCTCTTAAAGTTCTAATGAAAAGCTGTAATTCATGGAGGCCAACCATGTCCAGTGTGAGACGTCCATCCACCGATGGACGTAAGATAGTAGTGTACTACTGTTGACTAATTTAAGTTAGTTATGTATACCAATAGTTGTCAGCTCAGTGGTTTAGAGGTTCAATGTTCACTTGAGAAATGGATGGTTTTTGGGGTCGATTCCTAGTTGTTAGTTTGTGAATGTCCAATCCTAAGGAGTTATAATTTAAGACGATATGTCGTTCTAATGTTTTCAGATTTTCAACGATTATCAAACTATGATGAATTTGTTACCTAAAATTTGTTAAATAATACTGTTTATGTTAAAATATCGCAGCAAGAACTAGGTAAATATGAAAGTTGGACATTAACACCCTTGGGCGCCGGGTCAGTGGTTTAGAGGCTAATCTTCCACGAACGAGACCGGAGGTCCTTAGTTCAATTCCCGCTTGCGAGGGTCATGGGTGCACAATGCTGAAGAGTCTCATACTTGGACGAAACGGCCTTTCCGTGCCTGCAGGTTTCTAGTGCTGGTATAAAAATGATCAGTTTATCATTTCAATGAAACTCAACAGTCTCCATAACTCTATAACGGAAATCATGAAAAATGATCACTGATTCTTTTCATATTACTCAATTTTCGTTTACATTCTGAACAATAACATTTAAATTTATTTCATGCAATCATGAGCTTATTAGTTATTCGACTTATTGGCAATGAATTTTCACTAAACCCAAATTCTGATTTGTTTTTCGGATAAGCATAATTATTGACTGCCAATCAACATTTCAACTGTTGCTATATTTTTCATTATAGAGTTATGGAGATAGTCGTTTGATGTCGAAATCGTGGATAAGCACTGCTAATGAGCCTGTCATATAACAGAAAGAGACAGTCATCTAGTGCTTCCAGTTTTCTAACAGTAGTCTAACGATGATTAATTCACGATTCACAATATTGCTATAGTATATTAAATGACAGATTTCACTGTTATTTTAACTCAGTTGATCAAACTATTATTGAATTTTGAAGAAGTAGACAACTTATAAATGATGAGTAATTATAATCAATAATTACTTTCTTATATGTTTCTTTATTATAGATTCAAATTGTGAACCAAATACTATCCATGTCAAATTTTTTACAACTTTCATAATTTTTATCATTTTTTTAATAAGTGGAATTAGTTTGATAATCTTCTATTGCCAATTTAATTGTGTCATCTATCAAACACCCTGTAACTGGTGTTATCGACAATTATTCACGCATCGATCTAACCATAAAAAATATAGTGACAATAAATTTATTCATGATCAAATTACTACTTACAATTTATGTAGTAGTAATCCTTTGAATACTAAAATGTCACAACCTGTTATTTATGAAACAGATAGCTTAAATCATTCCAAGTTTGTAAATACACCTTATAATCCTATGAATCATTTGTATCAAACACATTCACAACAAAATCATCATTGCTCTCAATTACATTCTATTCAATTAGATTATTTAATTAAAAATCAAACTGATATGCTGCATGATAAAAATGATCATTTTTATAAAGATACTACTGATTTTCAAAACCCGTATAATAATAATAATCAGAAGAATATTGAAACATGGGATAATATGATTCCAGTTTATTATAACCGAAATTCAAATTCAAATGACAAAGAATTTGAACATTGTTCGTTTGAATCCGATAAAACTTATCCAAATCATATTCATCCGTTTGATTTCAATGAAATACACGCAAACAAATCATTATCGTTAACTTCTCATACACAACAAGATAATATTTTCATGCCTTCTTGTTTACATAATCAAACTTTAGGCTTTCTTCAGCCTAATTGGTATCATAATATTGAAAAATATGAAACAACTTTGAATTCTATGCACCGTAATCATTATCAATGTCTCAATAATAATTTTTATAATTCACCAAATTTTGTTACAGTTAAAAATGATTTATTTTTAAAGAACAAAAAATCCTATGTTCAAAAGTGAATTTATATATGTATTTAAACAAAAGTAACATTTTGTGTACAATAAACAAAATAGACTAACAGCTACTGAGATTTATGATAGATTGAGTATAAATTATTTCTCATACGTAAATATGAAAGTATGATCTATCATAGTTAATAGATTTTCTGATTCGTTTAAAGCAGATATGAAAGTAATTTCAATTTGAAATATGAGTTACGGGGTTGTGGAGATTGTTGATCAATCTTAGAACACCATTAGAAACCTGGAAGCACTGAATAGCCGTTTCGTCCTGGTATGGGACTGACTATCATTGCTCATCCATGACTTCTGCTACTCACAGGGTTCGGATCCAGGAGCTTAGATTTTGCCCGCGAACTCCTAACCTCTGAATCACTGAGACGGCATCTAACGATTTCAATGTCTAACTTCGATCAATCCATGGTCTTGCACAACCTCATCTACTGTATTCGGCGAGTATTGCTGATGAATGCCATACCAGGAAGAAACGGCCCGTCCAGTGCTTCTAGGTTACTTATAATAGTTTAACACTGATCGACTCGTGATTTCATTTTGAAAAAATTGAATTCATCCTATTTTCGATAATTTTATTTAAAATGTGATCAGTCTTAGTTAAATACTTGAGTATCTTGCGTGGATTACCATGATATATAGTCGTTATGATATAGGTCAATATATGGAATCGATATTCAATCTGTGAATATTGATCAGCGATATAAATGATTATTTTAATATTGTATACAAAGAGGTCATTAGTAGAATTTTTTTGTCATGAATTCAATTCAATGTGAGGATTACCTTGATTTATCTAAGTTGAATTAAGTGGATGGTGAGACACAAAATGTTAATGTAAATATGAACTTTAGTGGAGAGTTGAATAAACTATAAGTTTTGAAGACAATATACTTAAAAGGCACTCTATGATTAGTAATCTAAACTTATTTTAGGAAAACATGATAATTTGGATTACTAACACATAATTATTGATACAAAGGGATATTTGAGTGTGTATAGGACACACAAATTATTGTATTTGTGAGTGGGATGAGATATTGTCCGGTTGTCGAAACCGAGGTAAGTAGTGATATTAGGTATATAGTCTCCGAGCCTTTGATCCAAAAGTCTAATTCATAAGACAATGGAGCAGCGTCAAGAAATGCAAACTCATCGGAGCTAGTCACCAAAAATAGGTTCATGCACTATTATTTCTGGTAGGATCCTGAAGTTCATAAGCACCATCAATTTGGAATCAGGGTTTTCCAACTCACCAACTAATCTGGTTTAATCTCTCGTCGGACACCTGCTTTTCGTCATCACAACTTCGTAAACAACACTCTCAACACGATAAGGCAGTGAGTAGGACTTCTTTGACAGTGGTTTTATACTTATAGCCGTATAAGAGCACTCTCTACATTCTTGGTAGTGCAAACGCATTTCGTAGGCCTTAAAAGCTCTGAATATGGATTTCAATTAGAACGCGATTCACAATTCAAATAACCTGAGGAAATTAATTTTAATCACTATTGAATATTTTGGATTCGCCGCCAACCAAAGAATTATTTTTCTGATTAGCGTATCGCTTTTCTAGTGAATTCGATCTCTACGGGATGAATTCGCTAACACCATACTCAACCTACCTCCTTTATCAGGACGGGTAGTAACCTCAGGAGGGCTCTAGGCAGATGTATTATTACTATTGCCATGATTATTAAATAACCAATCTCTCATCTTTTTATTCTCTAATTTCTTGAATTTTTAACTGACAGAATGAAAATATTCATCATGGCTGCCGATAGTGTGTTAGCTACATATTCGTGAGCTGACATTTTCTATGTATTATTTATATACTTCTCTCTAACCCTGATATTATTACTGAGTTACTTACTAATGTCTGTTACCGCCAAACGGAGCTTAGGTCGCCGACCATCATTCTCCAGTTTTCTCTGTCCTAGGCCTTTCTTTCTAGTTCCATCCAATTGTTGTTCATTCTTCCCATTTCTTGGTGTGTTGCGTTTTGTGGTCTTCCTCCAAGTGATGGCCTGTGTTGTAACGCTGTTAAGTGCTTTCCTCAATGTGTGTCATCCGATAATTTACGTGTACACAAAAAGTAGTTGTTACTCAATTCATTACCCACTCCAATCGTGGTCTTCTTTGCAAGAAAATTTAATTTACAGTGGCACAAAGACATCTTTTATTTTCTTTTCTATAAAATTCTTAGACTATTTTTAATAACTTTTGCTTACCTTTTGAAAATTGGGCATGGTTAACGTTGTTTAAAACAAAAAAAACTCACTCTCTCTATTCAAATATTTCACAAACATACTCCATAGCCTCATACCACATTATTATTATTATTATTATTATTATTATTATTATTATTATTATTATTATTATTATTATCGTGGTAGCACCATTATTCGATAATAATCTCAACCATTTATTACATATTTGCAATTATCCGATAACAGTATTGACTACTGTTTATTTGATACTGTGTGTATGTATGTGGTTATTCGTTTCTAACACCTGACTGTAAATACTTGTAGCACCTCACATATATCTTGTACTTTTATCATTGTTGAGTTGTATGTTCATGTACGCTTGGGCATTACTTGCTTTATTGATAACACTGTTTGAATAATTCGATGTCAATATCGACTTGAATTAAATCCGATGTTTGTATCGATCATTAAAATGATTTGAATAATAAAGAAATTGTGGCAACGACTCGTGTTCTCTCGTAGCACGATCATCATGACGGAGATATTCGGAATTTCAAAGATTACGAAAGTTCAACATCACAATAAAGTGGTGAGTCTGACGTGATTCGAAAACGCTCAACCTTTTTGGCGGCTCACTACTGGACTTCAGTGTGGACGAATGATTGAGTGTACAATGAAATAAATCTTCCTTTCCACGTCCGTATATTATTTTACTTAGGCTAAACCCGTTTGTGCGACGGCAGTAGTAAGAAGCCAAATACGGTGTTACGGATGAATTTATATCATGCGTGTTCATTTATGCAGACAAACATGAGAATGGGATGCGTACAAGCAAAACGAAGCGAATTGGAGAAGGCGAGTGAGCCAACTCTCCATGAGCTGAAGAATGGCTAAGTATTTATTAAAGTCAAGTAATAATAATAGGCTAGACATGTGATAAGCGAGTAAGCATCCACACACACACACAATCAAATATACAATAATCGATACACGTAAGTACAATGAAGGAGCATGATGAGATGCTACATACTTAGTCATGTTTTGTTGAGGAGTGTTTGATAACTCACCTCCAATTCGCTTTGCTTTACCTGTACACTTTTCATTCTCATGTTCTGTTTGCTCAAATGAACACGCATGAAAGAAATTCATCCACAAAAACTGTATTTGGCTTTTTATTACCACAGTCGCACAAACAGGATTCGTCTAAGTATGATAGACGAAAATCGAATCGCTAACTCGATCATTCGTCTAAACTGATGTTAAATGTCGTGTCACTAAATTGGTGAACCCTAATTCCAACATAATACAACCAACCATAAACTCGTGATCACCATTCAAGAAATGATGTTATTTCTAGGAAAATACACAATTGAACGACTAAACTCCTTAATAATATTGAAATGAAACTCATTTTCTTGTCATAATCATATTAAATAATTTGAAAATTAGTATTTCAATCTTATTTCTTGTTGATTTGTATTTTTGCACAAATTTGACAAGGCATAGATTACATTTTATATTGATTATTGATTGTCAAAAAACAATTAGGTTTCATGTGAGAAATCGATCAATTAACAGGAGATTTAAATCCTGTGAACTAGTATTTGTACAATTTAAAAAAACTGTTCACTATTGAGTTAAATTTTCATTGGAAGATTATGGAGATAATTAAGTTTCATTGAAATCACGAATTGATCAACGTTAAACCAATATTGGAAACGTGGAAACACTGGACGGCCATTTCGTTGAAGTATGGAACTGACTCATCAGCAGTATGCATCAACAACGCCCTTAACGTGGCAATCGAGCCCAGGAAGTTTAGTCTCTCACGTGAAACTCAAACTTCTTGACCGAAGATTCTAGGTTTTGTTCCCGTGTGTGACGATCGTGTATGTGAACCTCTGATGAGTTTCATACTAAGATGAAACAGCCTTCCAGTGTATTCAGTTTTCTAATGGTGGTCTAACATTGGTAGGTTCATGATTTCACTGAACTAAATTTGTTTGAAATTCCGTTATGACTGAAACTGACCATCATAGATAATAAGTAATAAATATTATTATTTTACAAGGATTTAAACTTATAGTGTACAATTCAATCAGTTAACGGGTATTATGGTTACAGTAAATTCTCCAATAAGATACACATAGATTCTCTGCTTATTTAGGGTCTAATTAACTAACCTTAATGACCCAATTAAACGTATTGATTCAAAAAATCAAATAATCGATAATTTGTAGTGTGCCCACGTGGTAGTTTGTCCCTGTATTTGGACAAATGAATTAAGCTATTCTTCTCAATTCATTATTCACACACCTTTTGACTTTGTCAGCTATTCGCTTTTAATCTTTGTTGCATTTACTTGAGTGTGTATGCACACTGCCTATTTTTATCTGACTATAAGATACTATTCATGCCTTATGGCAGCCAAAGTATCCCTAGTTTCGTGATGGTCGGTATCCAAAGTGTTCTGAGACTTCGTAATTTGCTCGTCCAAACAACCGTTACTAAATAGAGCCTGACGGTTTAGAAATCAGAAGGCGAACACGAAATGTTGAATACATCTATTTTGGCACACCACAAATAGACCAGCAGACCACAGGCACACAGCGAAGGGCAAGTGAGCGAGCTAATTGGCGAATGAATTAATAAGATTAAAATGTTCATATAAATACATAGGAAAATGTCTTAATCTCAAAACACTTAAGAGGTTAACATTAAAGCGAATAGGATGAATATGCACGTAGACGTAAGAAACGTTCAGTCATACCCGCTCAT